CCCCTGGTGACGTACCTTGACCCCCCTGGTGACGTACCCGGACCCCCTGGTGACGTACTCGGACCCCCTGGTGACGTACCCGGACCCCCTGGTGACGTACCCGGACCCCCTGGTGACGTACCCGGAACCCCTAGTGACGTACCCGGACCCCCTGGTGACGTACCTTGACCCCCTGGTGACGTACCTTGACTCCCTGGTGACGTACCCGGACCCCCTGGTGACGTACCTTGACTTCCTGGTGACGTTCCTTGACCCCTGGTGACGTACCTTGACCCCCCTGGTGACGTACCTTGACCCCCTGGTGACGTACCCGGACCCCCTGGTGACGTACCTTGACCCCCCTGGTGACGTACCCGGACCCCCTGGTGACGTACCCAGACCCCCTGGTGACGAACCTTGACCCCCTGGTGACGTACCCAGACCCCCTGGTGACGTACCTTGACCCCCTGGTGACGTACCCGGACCCCCTGGTGACGTACCTTGACCTCCCCCTGGTGACGTACCTTGACCTCCCCCTGGTGACGTACCTTGACCCCCCTGGTGACGTACCCGGACCCCCTGGTGACGTACTCGGACCCCCTGGTGACGTACCCGGACCCCCTGGTGACGTACCTGGACCACCTGGTGACGTACCCGGAACCCCTAGTGACGTACCCGGACCCCCTGGTGACGTACCTTGACCCCCTGGTGACGTACCTTGACTCCCTGGTGACGTACCCGGACCCCCTGGTGACGTACCTTGACTTCCTGGTGACGTTCCTTGACCCCTGGTGACGTACCTTGACCCCCCTGGTGACGTACCTTGACCCCCTGGTGACGTACCCGGACCCCCTGGTGACGTACCTTGACCCCCCTGGTGACGTACCCGGACCCCCTGGTGACGTACCTTGATCCCCTGGTGACGTACCTTGACCCCCCTGGTGACGTACCTTGACCCCCCTGGTGACGTACCTTGACCCCCCTGGTGACGTACCTTGACCCTCTGGTGACGTACCTTGACCCCTCTGGTGACGTATCTTGACCCCCTGGTGACGTACCTTGACCCCCCTGGTGACGTACCCGGACCCCTGGTGACGTACCGTGACCCCCCTGGTGACGTACCTTGACCCCCTGGTGACGTACCTTGACCCCCTGGTGACGTACCTTGACCTCCCCCTGGTGACGTACCTTGACCCCCTGGTGACGTACCTTGACCCCCCCAGGTGACGTACCTTGACCCCCCTGGTGACGTATCTTGACCCCCCTGGTGACGTACCTTGACCTCCCTGGTGACGTACCTTGACCTCCTGGTGACGTATCCAGACCCCCTGGTGACGTACCTTGACCCCCTGGTGACGTACCTTGACCCCCTGGTGACGTACCTTGACCCTCCTGGTGACGTATCTAGACCCCCTGGTGACGTACCTTGACCCCCTGGTGACGTACCTTGACCCCCTGGTGACGTACCTTGACCCCCTGGTGACGTACCTTGACCCCCTGGTGACGTACCTTGACCCTCCTGGTGACGTACCTTGACCCCCTGGTGACGTACCTTGACCCCCTGATGACGAACCTTGACCCCCTGGTGACGTACCTTGACCCCCTGGTGACGTACCCTGACCCCCTGGTGACGTACCTTGACCCCCTGGTGACGTACCTTGACCCCCTGGTGACGTACCTTGACCCCCTGGTGACGTACCTTGACCCTCCTGGTGACGTACCTTGACCCGCCTGGTGACGTACCTTGACCCCCTGGTGACGTACCTTGACCCCCTGGTGACGTACCTTGACCCCCTGGTGACGTACCTTGACCCTCCTGGTGACGTACCTTGACCCCGTGGTGACGTACCTTGACCCTCCTGGTGACGTACCTTGACCCTCCTGGTGACGTACCTTGACCCTCTGGTGACGTACCTTGACCCCTCTGGTGACGTACCTTGACCCCCTGGTGACGTACCTTGACCCCCCTGGTGACGTACCCGGACCCCTGGTGACGTAACTTGACCCCCCTGGTGACGTACCTTGACCCCCTGGTGACGTACCTTGACCCCCTGGTGACGTACCTTGACCTCCCCCTGGTGACGTACCTTGACCCCCCTGGTGACGTACCTTGACCCCCCCTGGTGACGTACCTTGACCCCCCTGGTGACGTATCTTGACCCCCCTGGTGACGTACCTTGACTTCCTGGTGACGTTCTTTGACCCCTGGTGACGTACCTTGACCCCCCTGGTGACGTACCTTGACCTCCCTGGTGACGTACCTTGACTCCCTGGTGACGTACCTTGACTTCCTGGTGACGTTCCTTGACCCCTGGTGACGTACCTTGACCCCCCTGGTGACGTACCTTGACCCCCTGGTGACGTACCCGGACCCCCTGGTGACGTACCTTGACCCCCCCTGGTGACGTACCCGGACCCCCTGGTGACGTAACTTGACCCCCTGGTGACGTACCCGGACCCCCTGGTGACGTACCTTGATCCCCTGGTGACGTACCTTGACCCCCCTGGTGACGTACCTTGACCCCCCTGGTGACGTACCTTGACCCCCCTGGTGACGTACCTTGACCCTCTGGTGACGTACCTTGACCCCTCTGGTGACGTATCTTGACCCCCTGGTGACGTACCTTGACCCCCCTGGTGACGTACCCGGACCCCTGGTGACGTACCTTGACCCCCTTGGTGACGTACCTTGACCCCCTGGTGACGTACCTTGACCCCCTGGTGACGTACCTTGACCTCCCCCTGGTGACGTACCTTGACCCCCCTGGTGACGTACCTTGACCCCCCTGGTGACGTACCTTGACCCCCCTGGTGACGTATCTTGACCCCCCTGGTGACGTACCTTGACCTCCCTGGTGACGTACCTTGACCTCCTGGTGACGTATCCAGACCCCCTGGTGACGTACCTTGACCCCCTGGTGACGTACCTTGACCCCCTGGTGACGTACCTTGACCCTCCTGGTGACGTATCCAGACCCCCTGGTGACGTACCTTGACCCCCTGGTGACGTACCTTGACCCCCTGGTGACGTACCTTGACCCCCTGGTGACGTACCTTGACCCCCTGGTGACGTACCTTGACCCTCCTGGTGACGTACCTTGACCCCCTGGTGACGTACCTTGACCCCTTGGTGACGTACCTTGACCCCCTGGTGACGTACCTTGACCCCCTGGTGACGTACCTTGACCCCCTGGTGACGTACCTTGACCCCCCTGGTGACGTACCTTGACCCCCTGGTGACGTACCTTGACCCTCCAGGTGACGTACCGTGACCCTCCGGGTGACGTACCGTGACCCCCTGGTGACGTACCTTGACCCCCTGGTGACGTACCATGACCCCCTGGTGACGTACCTTGACCCTCTTGGTGACGTACCTTGACCCCCTGGTGACGTACCTTGACCCCCTGGTGACGTACCTTGACCTCCCCCTGGTGACGTACCTTGACCCCCTGGTGACGTACCTTGACCCCCTGGTGACGTACCTTGACCCCCTGGTGACGTACCTTGACCCCCTGGTGACGTACCTTGACCCCCTGGTGACGTACCTTGACCCTCCTGGTGACGTACCTTGACCCTCCTGGTGACGTACCTTGACCCCCTGGTGACGTACCTTGACCCCCTGGTGACGTACCATGACCCCCTGGTGACGTACCTTGACCCTCTTGGTGACGTACCTTGACCCCCTGGTGACGTACCTTGACCCTCCTGGTGACGTACCTTGACCCTCCTGGTGACGTACCTTGACCCCCTGGTGACGTACCTTGAACCCCTGGTGACGTACCTTGACCTCCTGGTGACGTATCCAGACCCCCTGGTGACGTACCTTGACCCCCTGGTGACGTACCTTGACCCCCTGGTGACGTACCTTGACCCTCCTGGTGACGTATCCAGACCCCCTGGTGACGTACCTTGACCCCCTGGTGACGTACCTTGACCCCCTGGTGACGTACCTTGACCCCCTGGTGACGTACCTTGACCCCCTGGTGACGTACCTTGACCCTCCTGGTGACGTACCTTGACCCCCTGGTGACGTACCTTGACCCCCCGGTGACGTACCTTGACCCCCTGGTGACGTACCTTGACCCCCTGGTGACGTACCTTGACCCCCTGGTGACGTACCTTGACCCCCTGGTGACGTACCTTGACCCCCTGGTGACGTACCTTGACCCTCCTGGTGACGTACCTTGACCCTCCTGGTGACGTACCTTGACCCCCTGGTGACGTACCTTGACCCCCTGGTGACGTACCATGACCCCCTGGTGCCGTACCTTGACCCCCTTGGTGACGTACCTTGACCCCCTGGTGACGTACCTTGACCCCCTGGTGACGTACCTTGACCTCCCCGTGGTGACGTACCTTGACCCCCTGGTGACGTACCTTGACCCCCTGGTGACGTACCTTGACCCCCTGGTGACGTACCTTGACCCCCTGGTGACGTACCTTGACCCTCCTGGTGACGTACCTTGACCCTCCTGGTGACGTACCTTGACCCCCTGGTGACGTACCTTGACCCCCTGGTGACGTACCATGACCCCCTGGTGACGTACCTTGACCCTCTTGGTGACGTACCTTGACCCCCTGGTGACGTACCTTGACCCTCCTGGTGACGTACCTTGACCCTCCTGGTGACGTACCTTGACCCCCTGGTGACGTACCTTGAACCCCTGGTGACGTACCTTGACCCTCCTGGTGACGTACCTTGACCCTCCTGGTGACGTACCTTGACCCCCTGGTGACGTACCTTGACCCCCTAGTGACGTACCTTGACCCTCCTGGTGACGTACCTTGACCCCCTGGTGACGTACCTTGACCCTCCTGGTGACGTACCTTGACCCCCTGGTGACGTACCTTGACCCTCCTGGTGACGTACCTTGACCCCCTGGTGACGTACCTTGACCCTCCTGGTGACGTACCTTGACCCTCCTGGTGACGTACCTTGACCCCCTGGTGACGTACCTTGACCCCTTGGTGACGTACCTTGACCCTCCTGGTGACGTACCTTGACCCTCCTGGTGACGTACCTTGACCCTAAGCGTGGCAGTGTGATTGACAGACGCAGCAGCATTGGCCGCCTCGCAGGTGTAGGCGCCTGAGTGATGCTCTCGCAGCTTCTTGAAGATCAACACCTGAGAGACAGAGGCAAGTCGCCCACGTTGAATTAAGATGCCAAGTCATTGGCCTGGATTTATTTATCAAGCTTTTACGCATCAACCTACGAAACCTGTACATCTTTCCCATCACAATGGTGGTCTTATTGACGTGTTAGAATGTTTGTGAACTCCTCCGAGGAGTTGCTATAACGATCACTTTGGGTTGTGAAGTGTCACAGTTCGTCAACGGTTTAATGTATACACATTAAGCCGCCATGATCGAGGAAAGATGTGCAGGTTTCGTAAGAGGAAGTATAATGCTTGAAGAATCCTGGCCAAGATGTACACAAGCGTGCTATAGTATATGCATATATGTGCACGCAAATATTGCAGACGCACGTACACCTGCACTCAAAATCCAAGCACATTAAACCTCTTTAATCCGTCCTAAAAAAATTTATTTTGAACGTCGCTGAAAGCTTCAAACTACTTCAGGATACTTCAAGACGTTGTAACCAGTGTTAAGGTTCATGCGGAAGCACTGGCCAAACATACGGAGCTCTAAGAACACCTAATCAACAGGAAAGTGGCCTAAGACATTCTAACCACCGCACTGACCACTAAAAAACTTACAATTCATCACAAAAATATCAACGATATAGCCAATCGTAAGTTCCTCCAAGAACTTTTAATCAAACATATGCTAATGTGACAATATATCCCTGGGAAGGGATATGGGACAGACCAAGAGCTGGGATACGAGTTTAGTCCAAGAGATGGGATATAAAAGACAAGACTGAAAGCTGGGATATGTAGAGAGGAACAGAGCTGGAATATAGATCATGACGTCTTAACCAATAAGACTCTAGATGCTGAGAAAAAGTCACAGCAAAAGTACCTGTGTAATGAAAACCAAGCCATAAACCTAATGACAAACAGAACCAGGAAAACTCAGTAAATTATAGGAAACCAAACCAGAAACGGTATTATTAGGTGACGTACCTTGACACACTACACACAATAACCACACTAAAAGGCCATCATTAGTGAGAACCCACATCAATAATCAATCGACGGAAATCCTTTACCTAACGAGGAACTATCCCCGAAAGCCCTAGCCAATCAGGAATAGTGCCAGGAAAAGCTAACCAATCAGGAAGCGCGCCAGGAGGCCCGAAGCCAATCATCAGCGGCGTACTGACCATGGAGAACTCGCTGACTTGTTTACTCTCAACATCCGGGTCGTGCTGAAGGTGGCGGCCGTCCTTGAGCCAGTTGATGGTGATGGGGAGGTCCCCCGCCGTCACGGTGCACGAGAGCTGCGTCCGCCGGCCCTCCTCCAGGTTACTCCGGAAGTTGAACGTGTCGATTTCCGGAGGTTCTGAGGGAAGAAGAGGTTCAGGAGAGACTATTAAAAAACTGTACAGTGAAAGCACTATGACGTGACCTATCTATGAGTAAATCCCTGGGGGTAGGCTGATGGGATCGAACCGCCGATATGGGTAATCCCAAGCGTGCGTCTAAATCCACGGACCCTGATATGTCTGGGGCGTCTCAGGACGCTAGTTCGATCCTGCTCCCCAGGATTTTTTTCAAATAAAAGTTGATTTATACATTTAAAAGCTTCTTATGGACTCACGATAACATTGGGTCTTTAAGAACATCTATAGAGCTTAAAGCAGCAACAACTGAACAAAATAAAGTTAATTTAAGTTCTTCTAAAAGATTTTTAAATTACATTTTGATATTTAACTGTATTTGTAATTAAATCTTAGAAATTTAATTGTTCAATGTACTCATAATATTTACTGATGACACTTTAGAAATAATGAGGGTTGTATCCAATACTAACTGATATTTGTCGCAAGATTCAATGTTAAAAACATGCTAGAATTTCATTAATACGTGTAAATTAGGACATGTAACTTACAGAACATTTGTCATAGACAATAATGTGATCAACCGAGGTCTTGCCACTAGCCTCCTGATCTCGTGACACGAGACCGTACAACTGCACGCCTGCACGTACCCTCACCAGGCTAACTGCACGCCTTCACGTACCCTCACCAGGCTAACTGCACGCCTTCACGTACCCTCACCAGGCTAACTGCACGCCTGCACGTACCCTCACCAGGCTAACTGCACGCCTTCACGTACCCTCACTAGGCTAACTGCACGCCTTCACGTACCCTCACCAGGCTAACTGCACGCCTTCACGTACCCTCACCAGGCTAACTGCACGCCTTCACGTACCCTCACCAGGCTAACTGCACGCCTTCACGTACCCTCACCAGGCTAACTGCACGCCTTCACGTACCCTCACCAGGCTAACTGCACGCCTTCACGTACCCTCACCAGGCTAACTTACTCAATACGTGCGACTGTGAGCAAGTATCTGACAAGGCGAAACTATCTTACTCAAGTGGTGTCAGACCAAGGCACTAACTTTATGACCAAACCACACATCAGAAGGTGAAGAAACGACGTCGTTTCGGTCCGTCCTGGACCATTATCAGGTAGGTGTAGGTGTGTGTGTGTAGGTGTGTGTGTGTGTGTGTGTGTGTGTGTGTGTGTGTGTGTGTGTGTGTGTGTGTGTGTGTGTGTGTGTGTGTGTGTGTGTGTGTGTAGGTGTGTGTAGGTGTGTGTGTGTGTGTGTGTGTGTAGGTGTGTGTGTATGTGTGTAGGTGTGTGTGTGTGTGTGTAGGTGTGTGTAGGTGTGTGTGTGTGTGTAGGTGTGTGTAGGTGTGTGTGTGTGTGTGTAGGTGTGTGTGTATGTGTGTAGGTGTGTGTGTATGTGTGTAGGTGTGTGTGTGTAGGTGTAGGTGTGTGTGTATGTGTGTGTAGGTGTGTGTAGGTGTGTGTGTGTGTGTGTGTAGGTGTGTGTGTGTACTCACCTATATGTACTCACCTATATGTGCTTGCAGGATCGAGCATTGTGTAGGTGTGTGTAGGTGTGTGTGTGTGTGTGTGTATGTGTGTAGGTGTGTGTGTATGTGTGTAGGTGTGTGTGTGTAGGTGTAGGTGTGTGTGTGTGTGTGTAGGTGTGTGTGTGTGTGTGTAGGTGTGTGTGTGTGTAGGTGTGTGTGTGTGTGTGTGTGTAGGTGTGTGTGTGTAGGTGTGTGTGTGTGTGTAGGTGTGTGTGTGTGTGTGTGTGTGTGTGTGTGTGTGTGTGTGTGTGTGTGTGTGTGTGTGTGTGTGTGTGTGTGTGTGTGTGTGTGTAGGTGTGTGTGTGTGTGTGTAGGTGTGTGTGTGTGTGTGTAGGTGTGTGTGTGTGTGTGTAGGTGTGTGTGTGTGTGTGTGTGTGTGTGTGTAGGTGTGTGTGTGTGTGTGTGTGTAGGTGTGTGTGTGTGTGTGTAGGTGTGTGTGTGTAGGTGTGTGTGTGTGTGTAGGTGTATGTGTGTGTGTGTGTGTGTGTGTGTGTGTGTGTGTGTGTGTGTGTGTGTGTGTGTGTGTGTGTGTGTGTGTGTGTGTGTGTGTGTGTGTGAGAGAGAGAGAGAGAGATACACGACCTGATAAGGGTCCAGGACGGACACAAACGTCGTAGTTTTTCTATCTTCTGATCTGTGGTTTGGTGTTCACTAACTTGATGAATTTATATCAGTACGAATCACCAACCTTCGTAAATCGGACACGAACATTTGGCTAACAGATAAAACTTAGTTAGTATCACAAACTTACTGAACGGGTGTTAGGAGAGGTTTGTAACTTACTGAGGACATGGAGGAAGGTGTGGGAGGCGGCGGTCTGGCCCTGCCTGCCGGAGACCAGGCAGGAGTAGCGGCCGGTGTCCTCGTGGGAGGCCGTCCTCACTACCAGCGTCCCGTTCAGCAACACCTCTTGTCTGTAACAACACACACACACATGAGTTACACCTTCTACACTCTGCTCCTGCCTGGTTGTCATGACAACACCTGCCATACCTGGCTTCATGGTTATGTGGACACTTGCGTCCTGTTTGCCATGTGTATAGCTGCTACGCTTCTCGCTTCTTGTGTGTACAGTACAACATCTACACTTTTCCCTTGTCATACACACCTGCAACACTTCCTGCTTGTCATGCACACACACACCTACAACACTTTCTGCTTGTCATGCACACACACACCTACAACACTTTCTGCTTGTCATGCACACACACACACACCTTCAACACTTACTGCTTGTCATACACACACATGCAACACTTCCTGCTTGTCATGCAGACACACACCTGCTACACGTCGTGCTTGTCATGCACACCCCTCCCTGTCCAGCTCGTTGTTGCCGTGGAGGGCTTGGTGGGCGGCTGCCGGAGTGTGATGCTCCATAGGGCAGTCCCCCTGTCCTTTTGTAGCCTTGTGCTCCTGCTGTTGTCCTCCCAAATTTTGCTGGATGCCTTTTCCTTTTCCTTTTGTTTCGTTTTTCTCCTCCCCTCTTCTCCTTTCTCCTTATCATTTCCTGCTGACCTTGTGCCTGTTTTGATCATTCTTATGGCCTTCTTTTGTTTTGACGCCCGGGTGTTTGAGGAGGCATACTCTTGCACCCGTAGAACTGTAGTACCCAACGTCTCGAGCGAGGGGAACCTTTTATTGTCAATCCCTCTTTTGTCACTGAACCTGATCTCGACGAACTGACGCTTCTTAAGATGACATTTGTGGGGCGTATATTCACGACGCACCCCTAGGGGGCCCCAGCATGATTGCCGATAGCTTCTTGTTGGGTGTGATGCCTATAATTGTGGCTCCATGGTGGGTATGGGGGCACATTCGTGAATGAAATTGTCTCTTTTCGTCTTTATGTCATTGAATGTTTCTCTTGTATCTTCTCAGGCTCGTGGGGTGGGCGACCAAGCCCCCGAGTCGGACTGTATTGGAAGATCGGGCTCTGTAGCCCCCGCTGCGTTGGGCTAAGACCTTGCTCCTCCTGACCTCTTCCCTCGGCTCCCCTCCCTTCTCTGTGGTTGGGTCGAGCCACAAGCCCCCCAGTGGTGACCACTTCGTCCCCTGGTGCAGCCCAGTCTCTCGTTGTGACTACTGCGCATTTTAACCCCTCTCTCTCTCTGGGGGTTCTCAACGCCGTCCGCACCACGGCCGCACTCGTTCAATTCCTTCCCGCACTGATGCGTATCAGGCCTTGTTTGGTCCCGCTTCGTGGGCCAAATACTTTGATCTCTTCCCTCTTGATTCTGCGCCTCCTGACGATTTCTCCCTCCATAGGCATCTTGTTGATTTCGTAGATGCCTCTGTTACCTTCAACCCCACTCGTCTCAGTACACATGTCGTTGCTGCTCCTTCTCAGGATGCAGCTTCCCGCTTGGCTGCCTTATCCTGCCTTGGCGAGACCCCTGTTCAAGTCTCAAAGAACGCTCAGTTGAATGCCAGAGTTGGCACTATTCTCCTCCTGCCCCATGTTGCAACCGGTGTTCAGAATCTGCAGGACTGCCACGATGATATTCGGCATATCCTCGATGCCCAAGGCTATTCTGTCCTTCAGGTTGACACGTTTACTCATCCCCCTGGTGGTCGTCGCCATCAGCCCCTTCGGGTTGTGAAGATTACCTTTGATGGTAGGACCCTTCTGCCCTCTGTCATTCTTGCTGGTGCCAGGTGCTCTGTCCAGGAGTACATTCCCTCTCCTCGGCTCTGTAATAAGTGCTGGAGGTTTGGGCATGGTGCCCTCCACTGCTCTGGATCTGTCTCTCTCTCTGTCCCTTGTGTAGGGGTGAAGGTCACTCTAAGTCGAGTGCACTTCTCCCCAGGCTCGCTGCCTCAATTGCGGTGAGGCCCACCCTACCTTCTCCCGTGCGTGTATACATTATAAGCTTGTGGCAGCCGTCCTCAACTTGAAGCACCGGGAGCGTTTATCTTTTCCTGAGGCGAGGCACCAGGTTCGTCGGCTCCCACCGTATGCTAACGTCTCTTATGCTCGCGTGTTGCGGTCTTCCTCTCCTCGTCCTTCCCACCTTCCTCAGACTCAAAACCGTTTTCGGGCCTTAGAACCTGATACACCCACCGCCCCCCTCCTCTGTTCCTTTGAGTTCTGTCCCGAAGGGTCCCCATCCTGGTCTTCAGGGTTCCCCTTCTTTCTGCCCAGTCTGTCATATCTCCTGTGTCTTCTTCCTCGTCTCCCTCCGATCCTCCTTCCCATCCTCCTCCTTTGTATATTGGCTCTCCACACCGCCTATCAGTACAGGCTGATGTCCATCGCTCTCCCAACGGCTGTCATATATGCTCTCATTCAGCTTCTGTTGAGACACTGGAATCCGTTGCCCAGTACGTAGTTGCTGGGACACCTGTCTCTTTGCGTCAGAAGCGTAAGCCGTGCTCGGGCTGTTCTCCTCCCCGGTGGGTAAAAAGGCTTTGCTTTTTTTCTTGTCCCTACTTCTGACTCTCTTGCTCAGTCCCCTTCTGTTTCGGTGGTTACACCCCCTGTTCCTGCTATGGAGGTCTCCCGCTTCCTTCTCGGTTGGTGCCCTTGCTGAGGTGTGTTCCCTGGTTTCTGTCCCTCCTGCTGCTGTCCTTGACCCTCGGTTATCCCCCCTCTTCCTCCTCCGGACCCTCCTCGTCTGGCCCTGGTCGGACGAGGAGGGTCCGACCTTCCTACCTTCCCTCCGACCTAGCTACTTTCCCTCCTTCTTTACTCAGTTTACCCATGCCCCCTAACCCTGACTTCGCTGACCCTGACCCTGATCCTGCGCTTCTTTAACGTGCTGTGTTCCCTTTTCGCCTTTGTTTCTTCGTTGTTCTCTGTTGCTGTCCTTCCTCTTCTCGTCGATGTCTATTCTTCAATGGAACGTTTGTGGTTATTAGGCCAATTTCCTCGAAATCCAGCTTCTGAATTCGCGGTTTACGCCCCTTTGTGTCTGTCTCCATGAGCCGATGCTTGGTGCTCGTCCTGGTCACTTTCGTGGTTATTCCTTTCTCTCCCTCCCTCCAGCTGTTGATGGGGCTCCTAACTCTTCTGCTCTCTTGATTCGCTCTGATGTTCCCTTTGTCCCCTTACATTTTCCTTTGCCTCTCTATTGTTCTACTGCTTGTATCTTTGTGAGGAAATGGTACACCATTTGTTCTATTTATCTCCCCCCGAGTGTCTCGCTTTCTCTTCCCGATCTGAAACACCTACTGGACTCCTTGCCGGAGCCTGTGTTCCTGCTGGGTGATTTCAATTGTCGTCATTCTCTTTGGGGTGATGTTCTGACAAACACCAGGGGTCGCCGTTCATCCTCTCTTCTTCCCTCTCTTCTGAATTCTGGTGAGCCCACGCATTTGGACTCTCGAACTCTCACCCTTTCCTGTCTTTCTCTTTCTCTTTGCTCGTCTTCTCTTTACTTAGATTTCACATGGCAGGTTCTTGATGACTTCCATGGCAGTGACCATTTCCCCATCCTTGTTACCTTTTTCTCTTTTCACCCTCCCCTCTTCTTCTCTAGGTGGCAGTTTGCTAAGGCAGACTGGAACCTATTTACCCTCAGTGCTGCTCTCTCTGACCTCTCCCTTCTGCCTATCCCTCGCTCTCTCCTCCTTTTTCATGACACAGTTTTCGACGATGCCCTTCACTCTATTCCTCGCTCTTTCTCTCGGGGCCCATGGAAGTGCGTTCCCTGGTGGAATACGGACTGTGCTCCGGCTGTCCACTGAAAGCGTGCAGCCTGGAAGAGACACCGCTGCCGGCAGACGGCTGATTCTTTTCTTTTATTTCGGAAGGCGAGTGTGGTGGCCCGTAGGGCCATCCATATGGCTAAACGTGAATGTTGGGCATCTTATGTCTCCACCATTACGTCTGACACTCCTCTGCTGCAGATCTGGAAGTGTATCTGCAAGATAGTGGGTAAGTTCGTTCCCGATGTCTCACCGGTCCTTCACCTCCGTGGTACTCTTGTGGCGGACCCGTTGCAGGTCGCTATCAAACTGGGTTCCCACTTTTCTTCTGTTAGCTCTGGTTTTCATCTTCCCCAATCTTTCCTTCTTCTTAAACCTGTCACAGGTCCTTCACCTCTGTGGTACTCTTGTGGCGGACCCGTTGCAGGTCGCTACCGAACTGGGTAACCACTTTTCTTCTGTTAAATGAACAAATCCACAAGGGCCGTGACGAGGATTCGAACCTGCATCCGGGAGCATCCCAGACACTGCCTTAATCGACTGAGCTACGACAGGGTTAAAAGGGTTGAAACCGAAGTTCTACTGAACTTACTGGATCCCGTAGCCTCTCCGAGGCTACGGTCCTTGTGGATTTGTTCATTTGATGCATCACGTTAGTGTAATCTCTGTGTGTGTGTTTCTTCTGTTAGCTCTGGTTTTCATGTTCATCAATCATTCCTTCTTCGTAAATCTGTCCTTGAATCTTGTCCTTTGGATTTCTATACTCATCTTTGCCTTCCCTCTAATGGTCCCTTCTCTCTTTCTGAACTTCAGTCTGCCCTGGCCCTCTGCAGTTCTATGGCACCGGGCTCCGATGGCATTCATTATGAGATGCTTCACCATCTCCCTTCATGCAGATCTCAGTATTTACTGAGTCTGTATAATCGGATCTGTATAATCGGATCTGAGAGTCGTCATCAGTCCCTGAGGACTGGCTTGATGCCATTGTCCTCCCTGTTCACAAACCAAGGTCTCTGGGAACATCCCCTAAGGACTTTCGCCCTATTGCCCTCACAAGTTGTGTCTGCAAACTCTTTGAACGTATGGTTAACGTTCGTCTGATGTGGTTCTTAGAACACCATCACCACCTCTCCCCTTCTCAATTTGGTTTATGCAAGTGCCACAGCACAACAGATGTCCTGGTGAACTTGGATGTCTATATTCGTACTGCTTTTGCTGCAAAGACCTCCGTTGTTGCCGTCCTTTTTGACCTGGAAAAGGCTTC